TCTCTCTCTCTCTCTCTCTCTCTCTCTCTCTCTCTCTCTCTCTCTCTCTCTTCTCTCTCTTCTCTCTCTCTCTCTCTCTCTCTCTCTCTCTCTCTCTCTCTTCATCTCTCTCTCTCTCTCTCTCTCTCTCATTGGTGCATTTTCCACATTTGAAAATATTTAGACAACAAATAGTTGTATTAGATAAATGCAAATGGAATTCAGATGTGCAAAAATATAGACATGCACGAGGGCGCACGCTACTTCACATTTTTAACCCCCCCCCCCCAAAAAAAAACAAACTCCCTGCCCACTCCTCCTCTCTCTCTCGATTGTGCTTACAACAGTACTATATGTGACATCTATAATAAATCTATAATAAATAATTCAACGGAGTGTAATGCAATCTTAGTCACGGAGGCTTATTATAAAGTGGAGGTAGAACCCAGCTCTTGGTTTACCCAGGCACCTATCGGTCTCTTGTGGTTCATCAAATCTTAATTAAAGGTGAAAACAAAGTGCACGTAGTCCTTGTTTAATTAAGTGTTGGCACAGTTTGCAAACACTGTACGAACGCCAGCATTGTCGGTGTTGCATGTATATGTGATTTGTAAAGCCCGGGTGTGGATGTCATGCACGGGGGAGATTGTTTGCTCTTCTTTATCGAATCTGCTGTAACAATACCAGCGCAGTACAGAGCTGAATCAACAACGACGCCACTGAGTGTATTGTCGTAAAAAGGTCAAGGCATAACGCTGCTTTTGTCCCCAGCCTACTAACCGACCAGATTACCACAAAACAAAATCAAACAGGTACACAATTCCGAATAGATCGATTGGTTAAGCTTATGTTTGGTGTCAGCTGAGTTGACCCGATTCTGAAAAAGGCGCGCCCGGCGGATAGACTTAACCGATTACGCTTATAACCTACCTGTGATCGTGCGCATGTCATTGGCTACCTGTTTAATTTGAAGACCGGGTGCACATTTTTCATTCAAACATCGGGAGACACCAACTCATACGACGTTTTAAGTCAGGTAAGTGCATTTATCTGTTTTAAAGCAACGATACTTATCTCCTTGTTTTAAACGTCTAGACGTGTGTTACGTGCTTGTAGGCCATAGTCATATTATTTGCCTTACCTCTCTGAATTCAGTGAATATATGAATTATTACACATTTCAACGTGTAGTTACTCTGCCGGTTATCGTGTATACCGGTATTTCTAACTTGATCTCGACCCTGTATGTTTTACAATGCGACCAAGTGCTACTGCCTGCTACATATTAAACCATGTATGTCTTTAGATAGTCTACATGCAAGCCCTGATATGAACTGGGTGATTCAAAAGATAGAATGGAATGTCGGTGACATTACGCATAGCACTACATGGTTGTATTTGCAGGTGTATACAATAATAACTGGCAACTGCTCCATATTGATGTATGCGCCATCAATACCTTACATTACGTATCATCAATTAAATCATGGCGGTTGAATAATAAGTGACACGCAATGCTGTTATGGGTGTACAGTATATACTGTATGCAGTAAAGGATAACCTCATACATGTCTATTAAGTTACTGCCAGTGTACAATGCAACCGGTGTAAGTTGCCCCTGATACCGATCGAGGGCTAATGACTGTGGCTCTTGGGCTCTTTATTGTTACCCCCTCCCCTTTAAGCTAAGGTCCACATTTTCAGAAGAACTTC